GATTAAAAAACAAAATTACTAAGAGGAAACATTATGAGGTGACAAAGATTCTTGCTAAATCCATCTAAGAGGATTCTTGCTTACAGCAGGCCAGGGTGATCCGATATCACCTGGGGGTGGGGTAGGGGGATGTTGGAGGATTAGGAGCTGATCAAATAACTGAGGATGATCAGATATTGAGGATGTGGAGTTCTGGCTAACCTGACTTAGGGTTCTTTTGTTAAAACTGAATTTTACAAAAAGTGCACAGATAAGTCTAGAAGGAACTTGAAACCCAAAGTTTGGCCATGCAAAGAATTTTCTTACCTCTTGTTGTTTTCTATTTCACAATAGGGTCCACTGATGTGGCATGTGTGGTCTGTCCTTTGGCCATTTTCTCAGTGTTTCTCAGTACTAGACAGTCATGCCCCCGTTTGCATGCAGATAGTGGGCCTCTTTGGGCGATGACCTAAGTTTCCTGATAAGTGCAGTCAAGAGGTGGGGATTCCTTCTTTGTCACAACCTACAGTAGTGGGATGGGGAATATTTGTCATGGAGATTCCACCTTTAGCTGTTTTATTGTCGCTGTTGTTGTTTTCTCCATTTTTATTTCTATTTTTTTCTTTTTGGAGAAGTTTTTGCTATAGGGCACATGCGCTTGCCAGAAAGATAGAGAGAGACAGAGAGACAGAAAGTGAGAACTCACCCACCAGGGGAGATGGCCACGCTGCAATCCTTTCTCTACCCTTCTCCTCTAGGGATCTTGGGCATGCACGCACAAGCTCCCAGCGTGAGTTAAAGCCATTGGATCCTGGACTTGAATTGTGGTTGACTACACGGGAGTCCAGTGACGTAGCCATTACGCTAACTGCTGGTCCCCTATTTTCTCTATTTTTAAATAGTGGTTTAAAAATAAATATGTGCCAGCTGGGTGGTGTGGTGGTTAAGACGCTGGATCCTACATGGTCTACCCTGCATTTCAAGTCCTGGACCCAGTGGCTCAAAAAATACACTAGGCATATGTATGTGCATATCTAAATTCCTAAGAGGAGAGTAGAAGTGAAGGGATTGCAGTGTGGCCATCCTCCTAGGATGGGGGGCGATTTTTCACCTACCCCATCTCTGGTGAACACACATACTCTATGGCAAATATCTAGAAAAAAAATTTACATGCACATACACTGAGTTGTCAAAAAAAGTCATGACTTTTTGTTGTTTTTTCTGTGAAAAAATACATCATGACTTTTCTGACAACCCAATATATTTAAAAGTCACCATATTCACCAATTTTAACTGTTGAATTTAATTTGCCAAGAATATTTACATTGCTGTGAGATCATCTCCAGAACTTTTTTCCTTTGTTATAGGGCTCATAGAGAGAAGAGAGGGAAAGAAAGAAAGAAAGAGAGAAAGTGAGAAATCACACCCCAGAGAGGATGACCATGCCACAGTCGCTTCTCTTCCATTCTCCTCTCTGGATTCTTGGCATATAAACATGCACCTGGTTTGAGTAGTTTTTTGTTTTGTTTTGTTTTTAAAGAGAAGTTTTTGCTATAGGGTTTGTGTGCTTGCCAGAGAGACAGAAAGTGAGAAATCACACCCCAGAGGGAATGGCCACACTGAAATCCCTTCTCTTTGTCTCCTCTTGGGATTTTGAGCACACACACACATGCACATGCGCCCCGTGTGAGCTTTAAGCCTGTGGGTTTGGGGCTTGAACCTCGGTCGACCATGTGAGAGTCCAACAACGTTACCATTACGTCATCTGCTGGTCTCGACCTGGTTTGAGTTTTAAGCTGCTGGGTGCAGGAATCAAACTACAGAGCTGGCCATATGGGCTCCAGCTACCTTCACCTCCATGCCCCATCCAGAACTTTTTTTAACTTAACAAATCTGAAACTATATACCCATTATACACCAACGTCCCTGTTCCTCCTTTCTCAGCCCTCATAACCTCCATTCTACTTTCTGTTTCTATGAATTAGACTACTTTGGATACCTCATATAAGCAGAATTACACAGTATTTGTCTTTTAGCTTTTGGCTTATTTCATTTATCATAATGTCCTTAAGGTTCATTTATGTTGGAGCATATGACAGGGTTTCCTTTTTATTTTAAAGGCCAAATACAGTTGTTGTTTTTGTCACTATGAAGTATTTTAAGTATCAAGAAAACTAGTTAAAAATGCTACTTATATACAAACTACTTGAAGCTCTTTTGCCTCAAGAATAAATGAACAGGAGAAATAAGACATGTCAATAGACAAAACAAGTGACTTTTTTTTTCTTTTGGTTGGTAATTCTATGACAGTGTTTGGTAGAAATGACAAAAACATAAAGTATCTGAAATACATGAGACTGTTTACAATATATTTAAAATATTCATACTGTTTTCACTTAGTAACTGCTAAACCAATAATAAAATAGATATCTCTTTATAATTACATAAAAATACAGTTAAACAGAACACAGAAGGAAGATAATATTTTATAGGAAGACAATATTTTTGTAATAAGCATATGGGGAGTTATAAACCGTTAAGCTTCATTCCTGTTAACTTATATACATGCAAAACAAATGTGAGAAACAGCAACTGTTTTGAAATATTACTTTATTTTTTTTTAATTTTAAATTGCCATAGGCTACACGTGCTCACCAGAGAGAGACAAAGAAAGGGAAAATAAGAAAGCATTCATTACCCTTGGTGGGGTGGCCATGCTGCAATCTCTTCTCTTCCATTCTTCTCTCTGGACTTTGGGCATGTGCACACATGCACCTGACATGATTTTCAAATTTCGGGGTCTGGTATCCAAACCTCATCATCAGCCCTATGGAATCCAACAGCCACCTTAACCACCATGTCATTGGCTGGTCCACCTAGCATAGTTTTCAAGCTGTTGGGGCTAGGATTTGAACCTTGGTTGGTTATGTGGGATTTAGCTCCTTTAACAACTAGGCTATAAGGCTGGTCCTTGAAATACCACTTCTTATCATACTTTAAAAAACATACTGAGTGTAAAGTCAAAATGATCTTATAAACCAATGACTTGTCATTTAACATTCCCAATTATAAACCTTATTGTACTTACTGATTTTAGTAATTTCAGTAAGTGTAGAAGAGAATTCAATGGCAAGCTCTATATTTTACCTTTTTCCTCTTCCCAATTTATCAAGTTCTCCCCTTATTTTACTTCTTCCATTTCAAATAAGAAATAGATTTTTTTTTTCTGGAAGAACTAAATCACTTCCTAGGATTAATATAGAAATATACAGTTTCAATAAAACATAGTTTTAAAAGATGACCTTTAGATATATTGAAAGACAACCCCAATGTGAAATCCTATAAGTTTATAAGATAGTTTCATTGGGTTTATTGAATCAATTTATTTTTATTTTGACTTCTCATTTTATTGTCTAGTCTAATAAAGCACAGGTATGCATATTTAGTACCTAGATCACCATTTATGTGAAGAAATAAAGTCGAGGGTCGCCCTATGTTGATTGCTATCATAACCCTTTATAGATAAGATTAGATGGGATGTCCAGTTGTCATAAAATTTTCTTATAATCTTTTAAATGTCTGTATAGGAATTTTCAACCCTATTTTAAAACACTTGGTTCATGATTACACAGGCCAAGTAAACAGTCTTTAAAAATAAAATATAATTTAGCAGGCAGCGGGCTACATGGCTATTTACACACTTTTATTTAAATAAAAAATACAGGAGATTTTCTAAGATGGCCTCCTCTACCCCAAAGTTTTACTCTGAGACAAATATCTGAGTACTTTCCTTTGGAAATCATGTAGCCTACATATACCTTGTGAAAATTACAGAACATGGAAGCACGGTCAGTTTATTACATATCTGAGAATATCAGAAACCATGATGTTTGATGTCATACGGTCTCAAGTAGTCCGTGACATAAGGCTACTCCCAGCTGTTCTGTGGGCTGCTCAACTGTCTGTCTTTGTCTTCTTTCAGCAGCGGCCATTTAATCATCTGTGTTTATTAACTGCCCACTCAGTGAGCAGCATACACCTACTGTACTGTCATGGCATCTGGGGAGTTATCAGGGTGACTTTGTATTGTAGCAGAAGGCCTTCAAGGTCTTTATCATCTAATATGCTGATAGAAGGGATATGATAAATATCACCGCACTTAGCAGAGAGGGTGCTAGAACCCTTTCTGATTCTTTATTGTGTGCGTGTGCATCAGTGTAATGGAAAGAAAAGCAGTAGCTGACATTACGGGTAACGAGCTGCGGGGCAGAGATGGCTGGAATGAGTCTTGAGCATCATTTTGAGAGAAAGGTGGTTTCTGATTGGGAAAAATGGCAAGCAGGCAGCGTGAGCCAAGAGGATGACAGGCAGTTGCTGAGTGCGGAGCATTTGGTGCAGCACCTCAAAGCACACAAGCAGAAGTTGAAATCTGACTTCGGAAGGAGACTGAATGCCACTACAGGCAGAGAGATAGCTACCGGGATAGTTCCAGAGAACGCTTTCTGTGGCTGTGATGAAGACGAATTGCATGAGGAAGAGGTTATGTGGGAAGGGAGGTTGATACAAAAGATGGGTATTAAAGGTGATTAAGACTAGGACTTGGGCTCCAGCTACAAAATTATGCTGAAATTTTCAGATGACCCTCTGGGGCCTACGTGACTCCATTTAACTTAACATCCCAATGTAATATTGCAAAATCCTTAGGGAAAAGATTGCCAAACATTTTGCCTGTTGTCATAGATACTTTGAGACTGAAAGGACAAAAAAATAATTCAAAGGGAACACGAGATGGCAGCAGTTATATCACAGGAAGAAAAAGATTCAGGAAAGAAAAACATTGGAAATTATCTTTAAAATAAAAAATATGCAGCACCTTATTCTTTATGTGCTGTATTCCTTTTCAGTGCCGAGATTACTTAGTCATCGCTTTCATGCTTCGCAGCACATCTGAGGTTCATTCTGACGATAGTAAAAAATCCTACTCTGCTACATGTGATTGTTTCCGAAAATAAAGCTGTCGCTGTTTTTTTTTTTTTGCAGATTACTGTTCTTCTGCGTTATCTGAGGCAGAAGAGTTCTGTATGGTGAAAATTCGATTTAAATGGTCCAGCATTGCTTTCTCTTCCTCTTCCAGAGTTTCATCTTCCCTCATTTCCCACCTAAAAGAAAAACCACATCTTAGTATTTTTGTAACTTGTGAACTATAGTTACTCACATATTCTAGGCTTGACTATGTAGTCACTAGTTGATTCAGGTACCAGTTTCTCTTTATTTATATGTGTGTGTGTGTGTATGTATATGATATTTATATACACACATATATATAATCCTTTATTTTACATTTAATCATTGTATATCTTTATAACATAGAAAATGAATGTTCCCAGCATGAATACACTGTATGTTAGTCCAGTCAAAGATTTTAGCTTACACATTGGAAAAACCTATTTATTTATTTTTAAGTGTTATTTCTTTCTTTCATGAGAATGAGAGATGGAAAGAGAAAAAGACAAGCACTCCCAACAGTGTCTCACACCACTATCCACCCCTAGTTTTCCTTGCCAGCATTGGGAGTGCACATGGCCGCCAACGGGCATGGGTCGACTGGGGAACCGAACCGCTGATCTTCCATGTGGATCCAGCCTCGCTTGAGCAGCCTGTTAGCACTGTGCCCCCGAGCTGCCCCTCTCCTTGTTTATTCTTGCCCAGCTGTCTCTTGGTCAGCACCATTCATTGGCACTGCTGCTATAGAGAGGGCCAGGGGAAATGGGAGAAGACAGCTCAGTAAGAGGGTCAAACCAGCTCTACTCCTGAATAAATCGTTTTGGAGGTTTTTAAAAAGTTGCTTGTTTGTTTGTTTAGGAGAGGTTTTTGCTATAGGGTGCATGTGCTCACCAGAAAGACAGAGAGAGACGGAGAGATGGAAAGCAAGAAATCACCCCCGAGGGAGATGGCCACACCACAATAAAGTCTAGAATTAGTAATCAACAAGTAATTTTTTTTTTTCCTTTTGAAGAGATGAAGAGATGGAGAGAAAGAGAGGAAGAAAGCACCCCACAATGGGGCAGAGTCATGACACAAAGTCTTCTCCCCATCTCTGCACCCTGTCAGGACTGGGGGCATGTGCATACACCAGGGCCAAGATCTGAACCAGGGTTGGCCATGTGGGAGATTCAGCTCCCTTAACAACTAAGCCATGGGGCTGGCCTGTAAATACGTCGCATAGCATATTTCCCTGATTTATGAGCAGATCAGTGGTTTTATGAGGCAGAGAGCTTTGCCAGGAAGATCTCAGCAGCATGAAGACATCCAACTAGAGTGTTTATACCCGAAGGGCAGTTCAGTCTATTCCTAGAAAAAATTGAATTTGAAGTAATCAAAATGATTCACCCAAGAAAAGCAGCAAAGTCTTAGCAAATCTCCATTGAAAATTTACTTAAAAAGAGAGAGAGAGAGAGATAGAGAGAGAGATTAAAGATTTTCTAATTTTGGCCGATTAGGAGATAGATATAATATTATGAGGTAAATATTATCATAATAACTCAAATACACTTACTTCTTCCTTCCCCTACCCTCTCTCTTATCTACCACCTCCTTATTCCTGGCCAGAGGTTACTAAGCCAGCATTCCAATAAGGAATTATTGCAGTTTATTTCTTTTCTTTTCCTATTTCTGCCACTCTCTAAGCCATCCACCATAACGTGTTGCCACAGGATTTTTTTTAAAGAGATTTTTTGCTGTAGGACCCATGTGCTCACTGGAGAGACAGAAAGCAAGAAATCACCCTTCCTGGGGGATAGCCACATGGCAATTCCTTCTCTTCCATTCTCTTCTGGGGATTTTAGGCACACATGAACCTGCGCCCACCATGAGTTTCAAGTCACCAGTCAGGGATTCAAATAACGATCAGCCACAGGGGAGTCCAGCTCCTTAATCATTATGCCACCTGCTGGTCCCCACAAAAGGATTTTAAAACTACTGTTGTTACTCCCTAAAAACCCCTCTGTTCTCAAGGCTTCTGTGGGATAGGACTTCTAAAAAGAAACACACAGCTACTCACCAAATGTCTTCCAGAACTTCCTACCTTAATAATCATCTGAACTCCTGGATAATAAACACCGTGTAATACCTAAGGAAACCACAGAGTTTGGGACAGAATTTGCTGGTTTTGTTTGAGGAGTGAAAGGTATTTCCCATAGAAACCTCACAGCAGGTGTCTGTTCCCACATAGGTCTTCCTGTTGGAGTGTTGGGTTTGGCATGAGCTGGCCAGTGCTGGGTAGTGATATAACCAAGGGAACTACAGAAAGTTCATGAAAAACGGAATTAAATATGAGTTTATTTTAATGCTCCTCCAAATAAAATTAAACTCGTGCATAGTTTTTTTCGTAATAGGTGCTTTCCTTGAACTTTTTGAAGACTCAGTGTATGTGAGAGAAAGAAAGGAAGGAACCATGGAGAAGAGGGGGGAGGCTTGGATATCACACCTGCTTTTAATTTACATTTTTCTTCATCACCTGCCTGGTAATTTGCCTCTCCTCCTGGCCCCAACTTTGTTTGGATTTTTTAAAAATATGGTTATTTCTGGTTTCCTTAATTCTCTGTATGTTTACACACAGTGAGAGTTAAGTCACTGGCCACACAGGTTTTAATAGCAACTTGAAAGATAAGAGAATTCTCACTGCCACACTGCTCAAAACCAGGACATAAAGGAAGATACTGCTAAAATCAGAATTTGGGGATTTACACTTTAGCTCCCAAGGGTTACCTTACACTATTTTCATGGGATTTTAATGATAAAAAGCTCTCACAATTCATTTTATAGGGCTGAACTTGGGCATCATTCATGCACATTAAGTTGAATTGCTCTCAAGCAGGAAAATAAATAGTAAGAAATACTCACATAGCATTAACTACATTTTAGGCATTGTTTTAAACACTTGATAGAACTACTTGCTCTCGTTACAGAATGTTATTCTTCCCATTCTACCGATGAATAAACAGAAGCGCAGACTATTAAAGTCATTTATCCAAGTATCTTTGGATTTGAAATCAGTGAGTCAGGGGACCAGTAGTTAGCGTAATGGCTATGTTTCTGGACTCCCATGTAGTCGACTGTGGTTTGCGTCCCGGACCCGGTGGCTTAAAACTCATGCTGGGCACATGTGCGTGAGTGCCCAAGATCCCGAGAGGAGAACAGAGGAAAAGAGACTGTGGCGTGGCCATCCCCCCTGGGGAGTGATTTCTTGCCGTGTCTCTCTGTTTCTGTCTCTGTCTCTCTGTCTGGCAAGTGCACGCGCCCTATAGCAAAAACCTCTCCAAAAAAAAAAAAAAAAGTGAGTCAGGCTGTGGAGTCTGTACGTATAATACCAACCATTTTATTGCTATTATTAATTACTGTTAAACATAGTTGAAATATTTTATTTTCTGAAAACAATGTTGCCCAAATTATAAATTTAAAAAAATAAACTACCTAAGGAAGATATACTCTTGAAAGAAATCTAATTATGAGAAATCAGGTTTTCCTTTTTTCCTCCCATGTGAAGGTGCTAATATTGTCTGGGAAAATGAATTACTTTATGAATGTCAACAGAACAAAATACATAATACGCACATAAATATTTTGATCATTGTCTCTACTTGTGAAAATTGAAACCGCAGTCTCTCTGCTTCATTAAAAATCCATATAATTAATGTAATTTAAAAGAATTGTATACATAATAGAAACCAGGATAAGGATTTTTAAGCTTCATGACAATTATAGCCACTTCACACAATAATTGAGATGTAGTAATTAATGATATCAAGCAACGTTATTTACCTACCACCACCTTCTTACGTTTACTTTGTGCTTGTTAAGAAGAAATAATTTCATAAGAGGATAAATGACAACAAAGATAAGTGAAAAAATAATACGAGAACTGCATTGGCCCCAATCATCTTACTCCTGGTGAGCAAAAGCATTAGATATTTGAAATGTACGCATATCACAAGCATTCTGATATTTCACATGACTTCTTAAGAAATCTATCTCTAATTCTATCATGGTTTCAGTTTCTGTTAACACATGTAAAAATGAATCAATTCTGTCAAAAAACTTTCAGAAGAGAAAAGAAAAATCTATCAATTTGTTAAACACAATTGACTGGGTAATCTGCTCAAAAGCTTTTCTTTCTTTCTTTTCTTTTGTTTTGTTTTGGTTTTTTTTTTGGAGAGATTTTTGTTATAGAGCTTGTGTACTCACCAGAAAGACAGAGACAGAGAGACAGAAAGCGAGAAATCACCACCAGGGAGTGGCCACACCACAATCCCTTCTCTTCCATTCCCCTCTCAGGATCTTAGGCATGCGTGCGCACACACCCGGTGTGAATTTACGCCACCGGGTCTAGGACTTGAACTGCGGTTGACTACATGGGAGTCCAGCAACATAGCCATTATGCCGACTGATGGTCCCATCTTTCTTTCTTTCTTTCTCTCTCTCTCTCTCTCTTTTCTTTCTCTCTTTCTTTCTTTCTTTCTTTCTTTCTTTCTTTCTTTCTTTCTTTCTTTCTTTCTTTCTTTCTTTCTTCTTTCTTTCTCTTTCTTCCTTTCTTTTTAAACCAGATGGTGAGAGTACATCATGAGAAAGGGACAGTGAAAGAAAAAGAGACAGAGAAAGCACCCCACAGTGAGACCTGGTGATGCCATAATCCTTTTCCTCCAATTCTCCACCCCTCAGGCCTCTGGGCCTTAGCATGTAAGTGCTGAGGTTTGGACTTAAACTCTGACCTGCCATGTGGAATCTGGCTTCCTTTGCACCACACCCAACTGTTGTGCTATGGAGCCAGCCACTGCTCAAAATCTTTAACTCTAATTTCCCCTAATATATTTCCCCTAATATCTGTGGGAGAAGCATGTTCCTACAGAAACCAGAAAATGTCTAAACCAGCAAGTTCTAGCTTTCCCAGAAGAGCCACATGAGGTGATCATATTTTTGCTTTTCCTTTGGTAGTATACTCTCTGATAAGATGAAAAAAGTTCATGGAAAAATGGAATTGAAGGATGCGTTTATGTTGGTGCAAAAGAAATTTGAAAGCCATGCATACTTTTTTCATAATATTTTTTTTTTTTTTTTTTTTTTTTGGTTTTTGCCATAGGGCATGTGCACATGCTGGAGAGAG